CGTCACACAAGTTGTAGGGCTAGCTTGTGTGACCGAGATTTGCTTACTATCCTCTCTAGCATCTCTAATTTACCCGTCACACAAGTTGTAGGGCTAGCTTGTGTGACCAAGATTTGCTTATTATCCTCTCTAGCATCTCTAATCCTCTTACTATCCTCTCTAGCATACATTAACTTTAGAATTGTTGTCTTAATCAACTAGCTTAATTTACATGTACTTTTTCCTGTTTCTTTTTATATTTTATTTTTGTTGTTGTTGTGTGTGTCAAAGTTGGGTTCAAGTTCTCATTTCCCCACCACAGATAAAAATATCACATATGGAATCTCTTTAGTCAAAGTCAACTATACAGAACAATTTTATATAATAATTTTCCTCAAACAGAAACATATACAGAATAATTTTGTTTAAATAGAGTAGTACATGACCTGTTATAACTGCTTATACATATCTCTCCAGCTAGGTTATTTGTTGGCCAGTGATTTTAACATTTCCATAATCCTGATGCAACTTTTTTTTTTGGTTGAATTTTGAACCTACTTCTAAATTCTAATTCTATATTATAGATATAATCTTAGTCTATTGAGAGATCCTTCAAATAATTTTATTTGAGGGACGTCATTTAGGGTACCCTACTAATTTTTTTTTCCAACGATCCAAACAATCTATTTTTAAAGTCTTCATTCATAGATCATCCGGTGCTTCAAGATAGTATTAAAATTTCAATAATTTAATTAAGTGGTCAAATAATATCGGCTTTAAGTGATTTTTACAGAGCTGATCTTCAAATGAATATCTAAAGGGCCCGTCTAGTAACGTTTTCGAAGAGTGTTTTCATCAGAGAATATTTTCAGAGAATAAAAACAAGAAAACGAATTTGCATTTTCAGGAAATGAAAATGCGTCTGGTAGATTAATTAGAAAACATCTTCAGAAAACAAAAACAATGAAAACGTGTCTGGTAGTACAATTGTTTTTCAGGTGTATTTTTTATAATTTCATTTCTAATTTTGTTTCATTATGATATTTTAGAGGAATTATTATATGTGAGTTATTTTCAAGAGTATTTTTGCTAATTTCAGCTTTTTTTTATTTTTAAATTCTGCTATTTTTCAAAGACAAAAATTTATAAACAATAAAAAAATGTATAATTTAACAAATAAAAAATTCTAATGTTTTTTTTAAAGACAAACATTATCTTTATCTCATTTCTTTTTTCTCTTTCTTTTCTTTATCCCTTTCCTTCCTTCCTAGGCCCGTGCCCTTCTTTTTTCTTTTTTTCTTTCTCTTTTCCTATTTTCTTCTTCTTTTCTTTCCCAGACAGTTTCTTTTTTCTTTCTTCCTTCCTTTTTCACTCTTTTCTCTTTTCTTCTTCTTCCTCTCTTAATTTTTTCTTTTCTTCTTCTTCCTCTCTTATTTTTTCTTTTCTTCTTCCTCTCTCTGATTCTTCCTCTTCATACCCATCCTCTTTCTGTTTTCATTTGTTAATGGTTGGTGGTGGTTCGATTGGGTGGTGATAGTGGTTCAACTGGGTTTGTGGCAGTTATGGTTCGACTGCTTTGGTGGTGATCGTGCTTTGGAGGTGCCGGTGCGGCAAACTAGACGATGGGTCTGGATCGGTGGAGATGGGTTTCCACAGTGGTGCTCCTCAGTTGAATTTTTTTTTCTTGGTTTGGTGTGCTTGATAAGTAAATCAAGATCTCAGATATTTTAGAAGAAGAATAGCTATGGAGAATTTCAAAGACAAGAATCGATGTTGATTGGTGAAAGAGAGATGGAAAAAATGAATTATCGTATGGACTGAAAACGAAAACGTTGAAAACGAAAACAACATATTTTCGTTTTCAAATTTTGTTCATGAATTGGATTTGTTTTTGGAAAACATTTTTAGGGAAAACAAAAACGTTCCACCGAACAGATATTTTCCAGAAAACAGGAAATGAAAACAGAAAACAGGCAGTGAAAACGATACCGAACGCCACCTAAATGGTTTGGATTGATGAAATACAATGTGATGGGCTCTACAAGAGAGAGATTATAATGGATTGGGCTATCCCTCTCTATTAGTTCACATATTTCTTGGAACCAACAATTTTCAGTGTCACTTTGCAGCCATCTATGGCTATCTCCGTCATGTGAGTCTTGGGCACCACGTTAGCCTACTTTCCAGGAAAAAGCCACATTGACATTTGACTCGCCTTTCTCTGACTACACTCCCTGAGTCGTCCACAAACTAATCTCTCTCTCTCTCTCTCCTATATAACATACAAAAATCTTCATTTCAATACAAAACTCAGACCATTCCAACAAAAACCCCATTTACCAGAATTTCAGAGAGCCCCCAACAAAAAGCTCCACAAATTATGGAGCTTTTTGATTTTTCAAAGCACGGTACTCTCTCAGCCTTCTTCTCACACAACTCATCATCATTCATTAATTATCCTGGTACCGATTTTCTTCTCAAACCGGTTTTCATACGTGGGTTTTCTTGCTCATTACACCTAGTTTTGTTATTTGTGTTGCTCGTCTCTTGGGTGTGGAAGAAATTCAAGGTGGGTGATGGAGAGGGTCCAAAACAGAGGTTTGGGAGCATTCAAAGTTGGTATTATAAGCTAACTTTACTCTGTTGTCTTGGTGTTTCTGGGCTCAGTCTTGTTTTTTGTTTATTGAACTACTTCTATTGGCATAGAAATGATTGGTCTGAGGAAAAGCTAGTGACCCTTTTTGATTTAGCCATTAGAACACTTGCTTGGGGTGCTCTTTGTGTCTACTTGCATACCCAGTTCTCTAATTCTTCTGAATCAAAGTTCCCAAATTTATTGAGAGTTTGGTGGGGTTCCTACTTTTCTATCTCTTGCTATTCCCTTGTGATAGATATTCTTCTTTACAAGGAACACGTTTCCTTGTCCGTTCAATCTTTAGTTTTTGATGTTGTCTGCGTCATCTCGGGTTTGTTCTTTATATATGTGGGGTTTTTTGGGAAGAAAGAGGGCAGAAATACCGTTCTTGAGGAACCCCTTTTGAATGGTAATGGTAATGCAGAGTCAAATAATTCCAAAGGGGGTACACCTGTTACCCCTTATTCAAATGCTGGAATTTTCAGCATCCTTACTTTTTCTTGGATGGGTCCTCTAATTGCTCTTGGCAATAAGAAGACATTAGACCTTGAGGATGTTCCTGAACTATACAAGGGTGATAGTGTAGTTGGGTCCTTCCCAAATTTTAGAAATAAACTTGAGGGGGAGTGTGGTGCGGATGGCAGAGTTACCACATTTCATCTGGTGAAGGCATTGATATTCTCAGTCTGGAAAGAGGTTGGCTGGACAGGGTTATATGCTATATTTTACATATTGGCATCTTATGTCGGTCCATATCTAATCGACACATTTGTTCAATACCTCTATGGGCGGAGACAGTTCAAAAATGAAGGCTATGCTTTGGTTTCTGCATTTATGGTTGCGAAGCTGGTGGAGTGCCTCTGTCTAAGGCACTGGTTCTTTAAGGCACAACAGGCAGGAGTAAGAATCCGAGCGGTACTTGTTACAGCGATCTATAATAAGGGTTTGACCCTGTCATGCCAGTCCAAGCAGGGCCACACTAGCGGTGAGATTATCAATTTTATGACTGTTGATGCTGAGCGGGTTGGTGACTTCTCTTGGTACATGCATGATCCATGGATCGTCATTCTACAAGTTGGCTTGGCCCTAGTGATTTTGTATATAAATCTTGGTCTTGCAGCCATTGCAACTTTAGTTGCAACCAGTGGCGGATCCAGGATTCATTAGCCATGGGGTCTTAGTGTAAAAGTAGGAAAATATTTTTTAGACGAAATAGCATTGAAAAATTAAAGCCATAGCACTTTCATTCCTAATCAACCAACAACCAAAAAACTAATCAAAACACAAAACCCTAATCAATTAATCAAAAGAAAAGCCCTTATCAATTAATCAAAACACAAGCCTTAATCTTCAAGAGCCTATCTACGGTCTTCCAGACACAATTTCAATGATAGCACAAACAAAGGTATCCCTCGATAGAATTGCATCATTCCTTAGTCTTGATGACTTGCCGCCTGACGTTATAGAGAACCTTCCAAGAGGTAGTTCTGATACAGCAATTGAGATAGTCGATGGGAATTTCTCTTGGGATTTATCATCCCCTAGTCCAACATTGAAGAATCTAAATTTCAAAGTGAGCCAAGGTATGAGGGTTGCTGTTTGTGGTACTGTTGGCTCAGGCAAGTCTAGCTTACTTTCTTGTATTCTGGGAGAAGTTCCGAAGATATCGGGGACTCTTAAAATGTGTGGGACAAAGGCCTATGTTTCTCAGTCACCATGGATACAGAGTGGCAAGATAGAGGAAAACATATTGTTTGGTCAAGAGATGGACAGAGAAAGATATGAGAGGGTGCTTGAAGCATGTTCATTAAAGAAGGACCTGGAAATTCTATCGTTTGGTGATCAGACAATTATAGGGGAGAGGGGAATCAATTTAAGTGGTGGGCAGAAGCAAAGAATACAAATTGCACGTGCTCTGTATCAAGACGCTGATATTTATCTGTTTGATGATCCTTTTAGCGCTGTTGATGCTCATACAGGATCACACCTTTTTAAGGTATTTCATTTCCCTCTTGTAGTGTGATTACATCTAGTTTAAATTGAGTATCCAGAATTATTTACATTATAGAATTATTGGCATATGCATCCGTAAAATTGACACTTCATTATTAATTTGTTTGCTTGATAATTGAACTACAGGAATGCTAGCTGGGTCTCTTGGGTTCAAAAACAGTAATCTATGTTACTCATCAAGTGGAGTTCTTACCTGCTGCTGACCTCATCTTGGTAAAAAATCCAGAGCTTTTCTTAGAATTTTAATTTATACGATGTGTTATTATCTAGTTAGTATCTGTCTGCTTAAACTTATTGTTTGTTATTAGGTCATGAAAGACGGAAGGATTACTCAAGCAGGAAAGTTCAATGACATTCTTAATTCAGGAACTGATTTTATGGAACTTGTGGGAGCACACGCGGAAGCTTTGTCCATGCTTAATTCTGCAGAGGTGGAGCCAGTTGAAAAAATAAGCGTTAGCAAAAAAGATGCAGAATTTGCTAGTACTAGTGGGGTTGTCCAAAACGTAGAAGGCACTGATGTTCAAAAGTCTAAAACAGATGATTTACCAAAAGGGCAGCTTGTTCAAGAAGAAGAGAGAGAGAAAGGTAGAGTTGGGTTGTCAGTCTACTGGAAGTATATCACCACAGCATACGGAGGTGCTCTTGTTCCGTTTATCTTGCTTGGACAGGTTCTCTTTCAGGTCCTTCAAATTGGAAGCAATTACTGGATGGCTTGGGCAACTCCTGTTTCAGAGGATGTGAAACCTGCTGTTGAAACCTCTACACTTCTAACTGTTTATGTTGCTTTGGCTGTTGGAAGTTCTTTTTGTATCCTCTTCAGGTCCACATTGCTTGCAACAGCTGGGTACAAGACAGCCACTCTACTCTTTAGTAAAATGCATTTATGCATTTTCCGTGCTCCCATGTCTTTCTTTGATGCCACTCCAAGTGGACGAATCCTAAACAGAGTAAGCAAAATATATTTCTAATGTAGTGCCCTACTGGGATATTCAAAAAGAATTAGATGACTTTTATGTACTTTCCTTCTTTGCTTTAAACAGCTACCACTCCCTCTGCTGCTGTACTGAATGCAGTAATCTCATTCAGTGTAGCTAATTGATTTCTTGTAGGCTTCAACAGACCAAAATGTAGTGGACTTGAACATGCCGGGTCAAATTGGGGCCCTTGCCAACTCAATGATCCAGCTTCTGGGAATTATTGCAGTGATGTCGCAAGTTGCATGGCAGGTTTTCATCATTTTTATCCCTGTGATTGCAATCTGTATCTGGTTACAGGTAACGCTTCTTTGTCCGACTGCTCCTATCTTATACGTTTTATCAATACATGAATTTCCACATGAAATCTAATATGGAAATGTTAATGTCCCTCTTGTGTTAATTCTTTGTTGATCATGCACTGTTGATGCTCGTTATTCATGCCTATACATGCCTTACCTTCTATTTGATGTGGAAGTGAGGAACTTGGCTTCCTTATTCACACTAAAGTTCACTAAGTTGATATATTAACATTTTCTTCAACCTTTTTCTGCTACAGTTCTTAGAAACTTCTAAATTGACACAACATGGAAAATGATTGACAATATGAATCCATATAAAAAAAAACCTAACTCCTGTTACAGCCAGCAATCTATATGAACTATGTTAAATGTGAAGAAAGATGCTCAAAAATTTTATATTCATGCAGCAATACTACATATCTTCAGCACGAGAACTAGCACGGTTGGTTGGAGTATGCAAAGCTCCAGTGATACAGCACTTTGCTGAAACAATTTCAGGGTCGACAACTATTAGGAGCTTCGATCAAGAATCAAGATTTAGAGATACAAACATGAAACTGATGGATGGTTATGGTCGGCCTAAGTTTCATACTGCGGCTGCAATGGAATGGCTATGTTTTCGCTTGGATATGCTGTCATCCATCACTTTTGGGTTCTGTTTGGTTTTCTTGATCTCTATTCCAGCGGGGGTGATTGATCCAGGCAAGTGGTATTCATTTAGTGTGTTACTAATTATTCTTTTGAAAGCAAATTGTATGAATTCTCTGTTTTCTTATTGTTTTTGGTATTTTACTCTGAAGGTGTTGCGGGCTTAGCTGTCACATATGGACTTAATCTAAACA